AAGGCTGTGTGTGTAAAGATGTTTACCACCAATTCTGATGACCTAAGATTTACTCTAAAGAACCGATGGGGTAGAAGGAATGAACTGCAAGTGGTCCTCTAACTTCCATGCTTATGCCACACAAATAAATAAATAAATAAATAAATAAATAAATAAATAAATAAATGTAAAATGTATGTAAAATGATGCCAGCCTCTGGTGGTGCACGTTTTTAATCCCAGCACTCAGGAGTCAAGGACAGGTGGATCTCTATGAGTTTGAGGCCATCCTGGTCTCCAATTCAAATTCCAGGACAGTCAGGGCTATACATAGAAATCTTGTCTTGAAGCCCCCCCCCTCAAAAAAACAAAAAGAGAAGTGTTAATGTAGGAAGCTTCAGTGATATTCCTGGAGTGGATTTTCTTGTCAAATGACAACAGGAATAACTTACAGCAGTTTGAGTGATCTACTTAGTATGATGTTATAGAACACAGTGATCCCTTTTTTATTTCAAAGGAAAAGAACAAGTCTTGTGACTCTTAATTCATGGATGATCCTTGTTTTGTTTGTGCTTATGTCCTAAAGTTGTAAAATCATCAGAGCCCAACTTTTTAATTTAAGATCTATTTGTAATCACTGTTAACTTTTATAAGTAGTAGAAAAATATCTTACTTGAATGTAAATTAAAAATGATTTGTTATCACAGTGTGAATGCCATCTGAGGAATTAATAAGCTTCATGAGAATTATTTACAATTAAGTACTATTTATTATTTTTCAGTCATAAATTCTGATCCCTGAGGTCACACCCAGCCGCCTCCATCTACTACAGCCACCCTGTGGCTGCTCGTCTGAGATAAAATATGCTGCTTTCTGCTCATTTTATGAGGCCTACAAACAAAGCTTATTTGCCATCTGGTGGGTGTGTCAGTGAGGGTGACAGAATTAAACATAGTGGTTAAAATGGGCTAAACTTTAAGAAATTAGAACATGTACAAAGAGATGAATTGCCAGGCACTTTCTTTTTTATAAGGTAAATTCAATGTGACAGAGACACTTCAGTTAAAAAAACTCGTTTCTCAATTTGAAATGGAACACAGAAGGGGTTGCAGGCATAAAGGAGTTCTTCCCAATGTTCCCTGATTACAAGAGTCAGCCGAAGCAATTTTAAAAACATGCATTTCTATTTAGTTTCTGGTTCATTAGATGTCCAGTGGACCCCTGAAATGTTTTTGTTTTGGTTTTTCAAGACAGGGTATCTCTGTGTAGCTCTGGCTATCCTGGAACTCTCTGTGTAGACCAGGCTGACCTCCAACTCACAGAGATCTACCTTCTGAGTCCTAGGATTAAAGGCATGCACCACCACTGCCTGACTGTTTGTTTTTGTTTTTTCTGATATGCATTTTGAATGAGAACTTTATTCTACCTCTCCTTGTAGTGCATAGTGTAACTGGACATAATTGGGAAGGATGGTTATAAAGAATTGGATGAACCAGGTTGCTTGAGGATTTATGAGCCACCATATGGTTGCTGGGAATTGAACTAGGGACGTATGGAAGAGCAGTTGGTGCTCTTAACCTCTGAGCCATCTCTCCAGCCCTGCTTGAGGATTTATAGTAAAGTTATTAAATTATTTGTTCAGAATTATTTTGTAACAAAAATAAGTACTAATTAGGTTGAATGGAAGAGACATAAGACAATTAGGAATTAAATGTTTCCAAGATGAATAAGATAATAGAAAAAGAATATAATCATGCTTTAAACCAAATATAAAGAATCAGTGGGAAAAAAATATGTAGAGTAGAATTGTAGGTGAGACAAGTGTTCTGAGGGTGAATGTTTAAAATATTAAAAAAGAAGGTTAAAGGTGTACCTTGTGGTTCTAAATTAACCTTCCTGTGTATACTAGTGATAACTATAGTCTACAATTGGAAATACAACTTGTTAAAATAAGTAAACTATGACCTTCTGTCTGTCTGTTCCTCCATCTGTTTACCCACATGTGATGTGTACTTCAGATTGGAGAACAAAAGTAAATCAACATTACTTTGACCTCCCATTTTCATATTACATTTTTGTTTTTGTTGTTTTGCCACAGGGTATCTCTGTGTAGCCTTGGCTGTCCTGTAACTCACTCTGTAGATCAGGCTGGCTTCGAACTCAGAGATCCACCTGCCTCTACCTCCCAAGTGCTGGCATTAAAGGTGTGTACCACCACTGCCTGGTCCCCTATTAAAATTTTTAAGGGAAAAGATTTATAAAGTTTATTACATCCAAAGGCATATGTGGAGAATTATATATAAAAACAAAACCTACCAGGTATGGTGGCTCATACCTGTAATTCCAGTGCATGGGGAAGCAAAGGCAGTAGAATTACTGGTAGCTAAGGCAAGACAGGTCAAAAAGAAAAGAAAAGAAAAAAACCAGACCTGGTGGCTAATGCCTTGTAATTCTATCACTTACTGGACTGAGGCAGAAGGATTGCTGGGAGGTTGAGGCCAGCCTGAGCTACATTGTTTCAGGATAGACTAAACTACAAAATGAGATCCTGTCTGAAAAGAAAACAAAAATACAAAAACTATCACTGGAAAAAACATTGGTTGGAAGCATAACAGAATAATCTTATTACCTAAATATTTGAAGGTGTCCTATCAATATGTGACTAATAACTAGTAGGAAGACAGGAATAATTTTTAATAATTATATAGCTTTTATCTTGTTGGTTGGTTTGAGTTCCCTCTGTAGCTGAGGAGGGCCTTACACTCCTAATTTTCCTTCCTCCACCTCTTTGAGTGCTGAGATTCCACTATTAGGTCCAGCCTTTTAATGATGTAGGTTTACATTTTTTAACATTTATGCACACACGCATCACACCATGGTGTACATGTAGAAGTTAGTACAATTTGCAAGAATCTGTTCTTTCCTTCCACCGTTTTCTTCCTGGGATAGAGCTTGGCTGGTCAAACTTGGTTGTATGCACTGCTAAATCACCTTGCATGTTCATCCTTTGTATTACGTTGAAGTTTTATTCCTTTATTTAGAGACAGAAGAACTTGCTGTTTAGCCCATTTTGACCTGAAAGTCACTATGTAGCCAATGCTGGTGTTGAAATTTTACCAATCCTCCCACCTCAGCTTTTTAGTGCTGAGTTCCTTTGTATTTTTCCTTTATCATTGTTGTTATACATATGGGTTATTATGTAAAATAATGTGTATATGTAGACATCTCTGTGGCACATGTGTGTGAATACTGTACCCATAAAGGCCAGAGGATATCCTATCCCCTGGAAAATGATAGACAGACAGGTGCTAGTTATATAAGCACACATATATATCATCATATTCTGTATGAACAATGAAGTATAATAAATTATGAAGTGCTAATAGACAGTGGCTTAAGTATGGGTTGTGGGGGAGGAATCAACAGTGATTTTCTTTTTAAATCTGGACAGTTGAAGAATAGACATTGAGATGGAAGATAACATTTTCTGGATGGGGTGGGAATATTCAGCAGTTAGCTTTTTATTTTCTTTTTTCTTTTTTTCTTTCTTTTCTTTTCTTTTTTTGAGACAGGGTTTCTTTGTAGCCTGTCCTGGAACTCATTTGAGACCCAGCTGGCCTCGAATTCACAGAAATCCACCTGTCTCTGCCTCCCAAGTGCTGGGATTAAAGGCTGGAGCAGTTAGCTTTTTAAATAGGTTAAGTTTGGATACTTTTCAGCATCAAAATAGAGCTATAAGGAGACAGCTGGCCGTGTGAATTATCTTAGTTTGTTTTCTATTGCTATGATAAAGGCCATGGCCAAGATCAGCTTGAGGAAAAAAGGGGTTATTTTAGCTTACATGTACAGTCACAGTCCATCATGAGGGGAAGTCAGTACAGGAGCTGAAGGCAAGAACCTGTAACTGAAGCAGAGACCATGGAGGAATGCTGCTTACTGGCTTGGTCTCCTTGGCTTTGTTAGTCTGCTTTATTATACAACCCAGTCCCCCCAGTGGGTTGGATGCTTCGGCGTTTGTAAATAATCAAGAGAGTGCTCTAGAGGCTTGCTTACAGGTCAGTCTTATGGAGACATTTTCTCAATTGAGATTCCTCTTCTCAGATGGCTCAAAATTGTGTCATGTTTACAAACTAAGCAAGATACAAGTCTAAGTTCAACAGTTTAATCCAGAGAAATATCAGACTCTTCAGTGTATTTAAGGCATGAGGCTGAGATTAGTTTATATAGTAAGGAAAGCTATTCCACACTATTTCCTTAAGCATTGGTGAGATCCCTGAGGAAAATGCAAGCAGCTGAGATGAAAGAAGTCAGTCAGTATAGGAATTGGGGGAGTGGAGAGGTGGCTGAGCTGGTTTGATTCCCAGCACCCATTTGGTGGTTCACAACTATCTGTAACTCCAGTTCTAGGAGATCTGGCACTCTCTGCTGGCTTCTGCAGGCACCACACATGAACATGGTACATAGACACACATGCTGGCAAAAACACTCATACTTGTCAAATAAATATTACATTTATAAAACAGAATATTGCAATTCAGAGAGAAGTAACGAGGGAAAGCACAGATAAGTGTACAGATGGGGATGTGGTGTGATTTTGCGTGGATTTCATTACTGGAGTGAGTGATGCGTGTTTGCTGAGGACTGAGAAGTGAGAAAAAGAGATTAAGGATGTGATCAGGCTTTTTGTTGGTTTCAGTGTTTTGAGATGAGGTCTCACAGTATAGCCTTGGCTGTCCTGGAACTCATTCTGTAGACCAAAGATACCTTGAACTCCCAAAGATCTACCAGTCTCTGTCTTCCAAGTGCTGGGATGAAAAGTGTGTACCACCACACCTGCATATCAGGCTTTGGAAGTTTGAGGATATATGTAATCTGAAGGAGTTCGAGACCAGCCTGGTCTAAAAGAGCAAGTGCCAGGACAGCATACAAAGTCACCTGCAAATTAGCAGAAGGTTAGGAACATTGGACAACAGTCAACTTGATACTGCAGATCATTGACTTCCTATTTTACTATCCTTTCAGGTAATATTTCACTTGTTGCATTTCCAGTTTCCAGCACCAACTCACCAACAAAGATTTTACCGAAAACCTTAGGGCCAATAAATGTGAATGTTGGACCCCAAATGGTAAGAAAACTATTAAATATTATTGTCACTTTGCTTAGGCAAGACTAAGTCATAGACTAATTATGTTGAAGATGTTTGGCAAAATATTCCCTTTAATTTTAGTTCTTTAATTTACCCTAAAAGTTTTATTTTTATCTGAGTATAATTGATTAAATATTAATAGAAGTTTTTATGCTCTTAATGCTTAATTTTAACACTTCAATCTATGGCTTCTTAATGTGTATTATTAAGGTTTTTGCTCCTTTAATGAGGCTTCTCTTGTTGTTTAACTTGAATCTATTGTATTCTGTCTTCTGTTTTCGTTTTCTTATAAAATAAGTTTCCTTTGTGGAAACCATGTATTCTTATATAAATTGAATGTGTAACTGAATTTATAGGTGTATGCTGCTATAGTTAAGTTGAATTTATAGCTGGAGCTATAGATTTGAGTTTTTCTATTAAGAGATCATTGTTGATCCACTCATGCTTGAACTTGCATTGGGGGGCAGAGGCAGGAGGATCATCACAAGTTCCGGTATAATCTGTCCACCTAGTAAGTTCCAAGTAATCCAGTGAACAGCATAGTGCAACCCTGTCTGGAAGAAGAGAGGGACATGGCGAGAGGGGAGGAAATAGAGATGAAGGGTGGGGGATAAGTAGCTGGGGAAACAACAGTATGCCATTTTAATTCTTAACCCTAAAAATACTGGATGAAAAATAAGTGTGTGTTTCTCTAAAGGCATTCATTAATTCTGCTAGACCTTGAAATATATAGCATTCTCAGAAAACCTTGTTTATAATCACAGTTGCATTAAATTACTGTTTCCAGGTTTGGTGATTTCTACCTATAAGCCCTGCCTGCTCTCAGGAAGCTGAGGCAGGTGAATCTCCTAAGGCAGGAGAGATGGCTCAGCAGTTAAGAGCATTAGCTGCTCTTGCAAAGGGACCCTGGTTTGATTCTCAGCATCTATATAAGACTCACACTGTCTATAATAGTTTCAGGAGATCCAAAAACCTCTTCTGGCCTCGATGGTAACTTGCATGTAAGTGGTACACAAAAAAAATACCCATACATATAAAATACCTACTGTTAAAAGACAAAAAAAAAGCTTATACCTAATTTTAAACTTAAACATTTTATTTTAAATTATTTATTTACACTAGGCAGTGATTGTGCATGCCTTTAATCCCAGCACTTGGGAGGCAGAAGCAGATGTGTCTCTGTGAGTTTCAGGCCAGCCTGGTCTACAAAATGAGTTCCAGGACAGCCAGGACCATTACACAGAGAAGCCCTGTCTCAAAAAACAAACAAACAAACAAATTATTTATTTACTTTTATGTATACATGTGTACTGTGCATGTAAACACAAGACACCACACAGAGCATGTGTAGAAGTCAGAGGATGGCTTGCAGGAACAGGTTCTCTCCTTTCTCCATGTAGTTTCCCTGAATCAAAACTCAGCTTGTCAGGCTTGGTGACAAATGCCTTTACTCACTGAATCAGCTCAAAGGGACTATATTTAAGTATTAAAGAATAAGACTTCATTATCAGTATTTATATCTTTTTATTTATAGAATAGTGCCAATAAATTTTGTCTGTAACACAGAGCACTCTGTGGACTATATTGAATTCAAGTTTAGATAGAACTATCTCAACATTCTTACTGGTTTCAGGAAGTCAGTTGAAGACAGTCATCTGCAAAACTCAAGTTAAAACATAATTGTAAAATTTCGGGGAAAAATGTAATCTAGCTCCAAACCCCATAGAGACTGAGACTCAAATTCATTGTGCCATTTGAAAGTAGCTCCGGAGAGATTTTCAAAGAGTTGCTAAGCATTTGCCCCCCACTCAGCCACTACAGTAGATACAAATGAGATGAGACACTTAGCTAAAGTCTATACTTTGCAATGTAATTATATAAGTACTAAAACAAAACATATTTTATGTGTATAGTACACTTAGAGTATGCCTGTATTTGGAGAGCCTTTCCTTTCTTAAAAAGGATGACTCTGAGCTCCTGGTTATCCTGTTTCAGCCTCCTGGGTTCTTGGGGGAAACATTCTGATAAGGTTTCTGGTGGAACTTGACTAAAGTGTATGTAGTCCTGGTGTTTTGTAGAAGGAAGAACTTATGAGCAGTGAAATAAGGTATAACATACTGAGGGTGGTTTATTACTTCTCTTTACTGATAGTAATATTTGAGAAGGAGTTATATGTTGAATTTTAAGAATTTGGAAAAATTTCAGACTCACTTTGTTTTTTTGATGAGGGGTTGGGGTTGGAGGTGAATTCTAAAGTGTAGCCCTGGCCAGCCAACTGCTTCAGCCTTCAGAGTGCTGTGATTATAGGTATGCAACACCACCCTACTGGCCATATTTTACATCTGAAGGGTTAAAAGGCACCAAGGATATGACCAAATGACCTTTTGATACTGGGCATAGAATATGGAGGGGTGAAAACCTGGTGCTGTTTATTAAGACAATAGGATAATAAACCTGAAGGCATTCCAGTGCTACCTCTTCCTTTTGACTCTTACACAGCTGTAGGGAAAGGCAGAAGAAGAGGAGTATAGGCATGTGTTTAGGGGTTTTGGCAATCAGTGCCTGGCACAGCCTTAATTTCTGGAAGATTATTCTTTAACCATTTTGTGTGTGTGGCTCTAAGGCACCTCTGTGCAATGCAGGCATAGTAGACACGCCTTTATAGGGTGCAGATAGCAACACCTTGACTGCAGTCTCCACTAGGCTACAGAATGCTGATTTTACCTAGATTTCAAAGAATTCCTCAGGGAGCCTCAGGGACTAGGCAGATAATTATTACAGGGTTATGGCTACTCTAGAGAGACCTCATTAGAATGCCTAAGGGGAGCTATGGGAATGCTGCCACCATCCTCAGCAACCTGGTTTCCCTGGAATTTTAAGGATTTAACTTGGGCTAAACCTCAATTTATGGCTTCCACACTGAAAAGACTTTCAGAACTAGCCAGTCTATGAAGGAGAGTTGGAAATTTTTACTAAAGATACTGTATTTTATTTATTTATTATTTATTTATTTAATTTTATGTGAATGGATGTTTTCCCTGCATGTCTGTCTGTGCATTGTGTTCCAACAGTGCTTATGGAGGTCAGAAGAGAATGTGAGACCTCAAAAAACTACATTAACAGGTTGTTGTGAGTGACCATGTGGGTGCTGGAAATCAAACCCGAGTCCTGGAAGAGCAGTAAGTGCTCTTAACCGCAGTCTTCTCTCCAGCCCCATTATTAAAGATATTTTAAGATAGATGTATGTATGTATGTATTGGGATTAGAGGAATTTTGTTCTATTTTATTTTGATGTCTTTTGTCTTATTTGTTTTTTTGAATTGAGAGAGAGAGAGAGAGAGAGAGAGAGAGAGAGAGAGAGAGAGAGAGAGAGAGTGACTCTGTGGGTTTGTTGATTCCCTACAGCCTGCCTGCTGTTACAGCCAGAATTCTTTGTTTCCTATATCACAGTGAGCAGTAAATTTCTGTTTTTTTGTTTTGTTTTTTTTAAATTAAGTAATTAGTGTGGAGTCTTGTTAGATAGCCTGAAGGACAAACACCCAGTTTCAGTCATTCCTTGGTGCTCCCTTATAGTAAGTAGTTCATTACTAAGTAGCCAAAGCTGGCCTTGAACTTGGAATCCTCTTGCCTTAGTCTCTCAAGTGTTGGAGTTACAGACTTCTTCTGTTTTCTTTGATGCTTTTGTCACTTACTTTTTTATTTTTATTGATTAATTTATTTGAATTGGATGGCTGAAGCAATGGCAGTGGTTTAGAGCACTGGCTGCTCTTCCAGAGGAACGGAGTTCAGTTCCTAGTATCTGTATGGCAGTGCTCAACCATAGTTCCAGGGGATCTGAAGTCCTCTTCTGGCTTCCATGGGTACCAGGAATGCAAGTTGTACACAGCCATATATGCAAGCAAAACACCTATATACATTAATCAAAATAAGTAATCAATATATATATTGTATTTTTTTGAGACAGGCTAGTCTGGATCTCCAGACCAGGCTTCCCTCAAACTTTCACAGATTCACTGGGATTAAAGACATGTTCCATATGCCTGGCTGGTTATTGTCACTTTTTTTTTTTTGCATTTATTCGCTTATTTATTTACTCTGTGTGTGTGTGTGTGTATGTGCATGCTCATGAACGAGCACACTAAGGTGTGTGTGTAGAGATGAGAGTAGTGTGCAGGCGTCAGTTCTCTCCTCCTACCCAGCCGTTTGCCAGCTCTTCTCTTCACTTTTAATCATCATCTAGTCTGGGGGGTATAGTATAGAGCAGTGATAGAATACTTACTTCAAATGTACTAGTCTTGGATTTAGTCCCCAGAACTGGAGTGGGGTGGGGGACCAAAATTAAAAAAAACAAAAAAACAAAAAACAAACTTTCACCTCTGTTCCTCATTCAGGATTTTTATTTATTTATTTATTTATTTATTTATTTATTTATTTTGGTTTTTCGAGACAGGGTTTCTCTGTGTAGCTTTGGAGCCTATCCTGGCACTCACTCTGGAGACCAGGCTGGCCTCGAACTCACAGAGATCCGCCTGCCCCTGCCTCCCAAGTGCTGGGATTAAAGGCATGCGCCACCAACGCCCGGCCTCATTCAGGATTTTTAAGAAAGTTTTTATTTAGAGAATTCTTTGCTAGACTATTGTTTATCACTCCTCCCCTTTTTTAAATATTTGTTTTATTTGCATTCTTTTTTGCCTGCGTATGTGTTTGTATGAGGGCGTCGAATCACCTGGAACTGGAGTTACAGACAGTTGTGAGCTGCCATGTGGGCACTGAGAATTGAACCTAGGTCCTTTGTAAGAGTAGGCAGTGCTTTTAACCACTGAGCCATCTCTCCAGCTCCTACTTCCCCCCTTTTTTAAGCTTATTTTTTTCCTGTTATTGAAAAATAGATTTTTTTTCTCACATTATATATCCTGACTTTGGTTTTCCCTCCCTCTACTTCTTCCAGGTTCATCAGCTTCTTAAAGGCTAGTTTCTGT